TTCGGCATGTGACCCACGCGAAACACTGTGAATACCGGTGGATTTGGCACATGCAAAACGCGCGCTTACAGGTGGTCCGAGCCAACAACAACAACAACAACAACAACACAACACCAACAACAACAACAACAACAACAACAGCAGCAGCAGCAGCAGCAGCAGCAGCAGCAGCAGCAGCAACAGCAACAGCAACAACAGCAACAACGGCAACAACAACAACAGCAACAACAACAGCAACAACAACAAAAAGAAGAAGAAGAACAGCAAGAACAACAAGAACATCAAGAACAACTGGAACAACAACAACAACAGGAACAACAAGAACAACAAGAACAACAAGAACAACAACAACAACAGCAGCAGCAGCAGCAGCAGCAACAGCAACCACAACAACAGCAGCCGTAGCAGCAGCAGCGGCAAGCAGTACCACAACCACACCACCACTACCACCACCAGAAACATGAAAATGTCATCATCAAAAGGCAACCACAACTCTCAGGATGCCACTGGTTTAGATACAACGCTCGGTTGTCATGAGCAGCGACCGAAAGCAGCACCGTAGTAAATACCCCGATGACGAGAGGTGCCAGTATGGTTCTTGCACGGGTATCCGCATGAGCCATTCATAAAGTCATCATTTATCGTCTCGCATTGTGCTGATTGAATTCCTGCGGCTCGCCTCTGTAAACAACGAGCCATAACGAGCCCGAAATGGCACTCGTCAAGCCCCTCTTCCCAGGCTTCCCGTCCTGTCCGCGGCGGCGCCTTCGGCCACCTCCTGCGTGCAGCGTGGGACTCAGAACTGTCAACTTCATGCTGCTTGCAATGGTTTCAAGTATTCAGAGTATTGCTAACATTGATGGTCGTCGTGCTGGCCATGATGATGATCATGGTAAACGATTTACAGGCATACCGATTTGCTCAAGCGTGCCGGCCCCGACCTCGGCAAAAGGAAAGCACCGACGCCAAATAGGCTTATTCGCCGAAGCACTCTACAGTATAATGCGACACATTTGTGCACTCACATCACCATTTTGGGACAACTTCCGCCTGCTCCCTGCACTTCCACAACTTCACACTTGTGTGCCTGAGGAGCACAGGTCCAGAGCTGGGACAAGCACAGCAATCACGGCAAACCTATGTCAGGTTCCGTACAGCAGCATTGCCGACAGGAAACACAATCACACAAGTAACCGATCCTTCATCTACAGCGATTGCCGCACCGAAAGTCAAATGCAAGCTTCTGTCATGCCAAGCAACGTACATGCCGTTAGGGCAAGTGGCCTGGCCACGCGGGTCTGGAATTAGTCTTACTGGGATGGAGGTCGCTGCTGCACAAGTCTTACTACCTTGACAGGAGAAAAGACGACAAATCCTTAGCCTGCAGTGCTCTGCTACTGTGCAACATTCACAATTCCGCAACACTCATATTCTACAAGAAAACATACCGACAGCAAAATCAATGCCTTGTGCAATCTTGTGCATATACACAGTCCGAGAAATCCAGGCGAATGAATGCAAACACAAACGCACGCACACAAGAGCCGCATCAAATGCATCTGTGGCCACCTACATAAATACCGACGTGCAAACTGTCACTATGGAAGGCAAACACACGCATGCCGACATAGCCCCCGAACAAAGGCAAAACAAACTCGTCAGTCTAGATCATTAGCTTATACATACAAAAACATGTATGTACACACAGGTAAACAAATATTAGATAAATAACTATTAAGATTAACAAAAACACATATATGTGTCGACGGGTACCAGATATGATATATATATATATATATGTATATATATACTATACTTATACGAGTGTGTATGTGTATATATAAATATATAATTGTATGTATGTATATGTATGCGTGTGCGAGTAATGCGTAAATGTATATGTTCGCCTCGGCCCAGCCGAAGCGGTGAGAGGTTCCTATGACACAGCTGTGCCAGGGGTCTATGATCGTGCGCTCCAGCTTCAGCTTTTCTCACCGTGCTCGCATGGCTTCGTGGGGCAAGTGCACCCGGTCCTGAGAGGAAGACATTGCAGCAGCTATCAGACGTTCGGAGGAACATTGGAGGATACTAGATTCAACAGTTCCCTTGACAGCAGCAGCTTTCTGGAACATGAGGATAAGAAAGGGCTTCTGCTCCTCAGCCTCCTCATCAAGAAGGAGCCTTTCGGTCGCGGCCCTGCTACGGCGACGCCCTTCGACCTTCGGTCGCCTCCCAAGCTCAGATCCACCTCATCGATCTTCAGAGAGCCGCTCTTCAGAAGGTGCAACAGGGCCCCATTGGTCTTCGTGATGTCGGCCTTGGTCAGGGCGTCCGCGATCATTCGCTGGTGAGGGGTCCATCGGACGGTGGAACCGCTCTTCCGCGTCGCATCGATGATCACCGCCAACTCCAACGGCGTCCTCCTCCTGTCTTGCTTCGAGGCGGGATGCTGTTTCACCAAGGAGTAATACAAAGACCTGGCATCCGTCACTCCGCATTGGTCTTGCCGTCCATCAGGAGAGCCTCCGCCTCGTAGTAGGCATTGGAACGGCGCCACACTGCCACGCCATTCGATGGGGTTCACGTCCCCATGCAACATGTCGCGGAACAGCTGCAACCACTCCACTTCACCAAGGCACTGGCTGAATGCCAGTGTTTCGCTGGCTAAGGTCGAAGTGACCCTGCGCTTCAACTTGGTAGATCGCCACGACAAAACGGAAACTTGGGTGGAGGAGTCATGATTGGGGATCCGGTCTCCAGGCAACACCACCCAAGCGCCTTGCACCGGATCCTCAATGACTCCATCGCCATCTGGGCCCCGGGCATTGCCGTCAACACCCCCTGCATCGCTGACACCGATGAAAGTGACTCTTTCGGGCGGGGTGGGGAAGATCTTGATGCCCTGTCGTGCAGTCGAGCGAAGGTGTCCCACCATCTTGTTCATGATCACGGCGTCCTCGACCATCCCGGCAGCTTCCGGCCTTGTCTGGTGAGCCAACCAGCTGATGTGGTAGAGCACGGACCGGAACTCCTCCATCTCGTCGGCATCCAATGGCATTATTGTCAGCGCTCCGGCCTCGTGACAGCTCGATGGGCTTGACCTTCTCGATGATATACTTCTCCTGGTTAACGTGGGTGCCCTCGGCGCTGGTCTTGAGGGTGCCGGCCGTTGAAATCCGCTTCTCCATACGCACTTGGTGTCAACCTCACGAAGTGTCTGGCCGGAGAACCTCGGGGCCATTATCACAAAGTCCGGCTGGTCGCTGGAGAGCTGCTTCCAAAACCCGCTGCTACACTTCCAGGAACTGCAGCGCCAAGCCTTCTTGGACTGAAGGTCTGAAGGGCAACCATATACCCTTCCAGCGTGGATCCTCGGCTTCCAACGGGAGGCTATCGAAGACCTCCCACACCTTGGCTTTGCCCCGGCCAGCTCGTTGCTCATAAAGTTCTTCGCGAGACGAAAGCCTCGACGTAGGTTGTTCTTCTTCTTCCGCGTGATCGTCACGTAGGCCTCGTCAGGAAGGTCCTCATCGATCAAACCCAACGACATAGAAGATGGGTCTGCCCTTGTCGGCTGCTTGGCGCCCTTCTTCTTCGGCGGGGTCGGACACGGTGCGGGGCGTAGCTCGACTTGGTCTGACACATAAGGCACCGCTCCCAGCTGCCGTACTGGTTGTCGCCGTTCCCTCCCTCGGACTCGGGCACCTGCCGTCAACCTGCCGATCGTCCGCTCTCTGGTTGTCTTCCCGGACCACCTTCCCCAGCACCTGAAGAGTCAACTCTTTCCATCGCTGGGTCGGCTCGCTCATCACACAGGAAGTGCGAATCGGAATGGGGCAAAGTACGCGTCCCTCCCGATGCTACATGAGCAGTGCAGGCATCACAAACATGAGTTTCACCACGACGCTTCCAAAGGTCAACGGCACACCTAGAGACATCACGCTCATGACACACTCGATCTTCAGCAGTTCGGCACTGATACAAGCAGCACGCACCCATCCCAGAGCCAGCTGCACTGCACCCTTCCTGTCCACTAGAGCCCTTCATGTATTTCGCACTCTTCGAAAGCCAGTCGCGTAGCTGAAAAGCGTCAGGAGCCAGCTGATATTGCTGGCACAGCCCAGCTGGAACAGGGAAGGTTCCACCTTTCCACAATGCTACATCAACTGTACGATGCCCCGGCCTCAGCCGCCGCGTGGGTTCTTTCGTCCCAAGCTCTTGGTACTCGACGACGTTTGAGCGCATGTTGATGCAGGCACCGGTCGCTCCCAGAAGGCCGACCGACAACAACTGAGGTATATCTTCTTTCACAACCGTCACCTTCACAATGCCAGGAACTCCTCCAAGAATGCACGGGACCAAGGCTTGAAACTGGGGAGTGGCCTTGCCTCCCACTCCTGACGGCGGCGCCAGATAGCCCTTGACCTTCACGCATCGAAGACCTTGCCCACGGAGACGTTCCACTAGCTTCTCGTAGGCAGGAAGTCCCACAAGATCTTGCTCAGCACCTATGTCCAAAATGGCATGACATGGTTCTAGGCATAGGAAGACGGGTGCTCCTCCATCTTCACGACTCAGACCACGACCTTCCAGACACTGCCTCAGAGCTGAATCTATGGATCTATGGCTGACGACACCCGGCAAAACAGCCTTCGGACCTCCTTCATCTGGAACTTGTGCTGAATCGTGCTGCCGAGATCGTCCTGGGAACCTGCGAACTGGCTCTCTGCCTCACAGGCCTCCATCTCCTGGAACTTGGGTCGAATCGTGCCGTCCATTTCATCGTCCTGGGACAAACATGTCCTGAGCCTCACGCGCCTCCTTCTCATGGAACTTGTGCTGAATCGTGCCGTCGAGATCGTCCCGAACCCCCACGAACTGGTCCTGCGCCTCACGGGCCTCCTTCTCCTGGAACTTGTGTTGAATCGCGCCGCGGCCATCAGCAACTCCAATTAGCCCCACAAAAGTCGAGGAGCTTGCGCCTTGATGATCATCGAAGGATACTGCCTTCGGACCGCTACCTCCTCCCTCCGGCCTCGGTTGGCGAGGTTTGTAGGGATTCTTGCGTTCATCTCGCCAGTGCCCCTTCTCCCCACGATTGGCACACTTCGTGATCTTCTTCAACTCGTCAAGGGAGAGACGTCCCCGACGCCCGCCGCGACCAAAAACTCGTCGATCTTTCCTGGCCGCCATCTTGCGCTCCTTGTCCTCCTTCCAGGTGCGCTTGGTGGGGTCCTTGCCTTTCTCCCAAGCCGCCAGAACCTCAAGAGCCTCGTCCTCCTCCATGCCATCCACCTCAGTCATGAAGTTCTCTAGTTCGCTGTCATCACTGTCGCCTTCACCACCGCAGCTGTCGTCATCACCCACAAGCAAAGTCGCCTTGCCTTTCACCAAGGGTTCCTCCTCAACATCAAGAAGCTTGAGGGCATTCATTACCCGCTGGTAGTCGGTTCCACCCCCGGTCAAGGTGCGAAGATTCGGCACCCCCTGCCTCGTGAGGCGTGCTCCGAGGGCACCGGCAAGTAGGGATCCATGCCGGTGAACTCTTACTCGCGCCTCAGTGCAAACTGCAAAAGCGTCTCCTCCTTTCTTCGCTGCCCCTCGAACAAGCCGCACGCACCACTCGACGCTTCTCGCTGGCCTCCTTCTCGCCCGCAACAGCATCTAGTATGCGCAGAACCTCGTCCAAGTAACCGGCTGAGCTGAGAGTCTGGTCGGGAATATGCTCAAACTTTGCCTGAAGCTCCCAGTCCATTTGCTTCGAAAGCTTCTCGAACCTCCGCCACACAGGCACGTCAGTGTTTGCGTCTTACCGGCGCACCGACTTCTTCCACAGCCGATAGCTGCTCCACCCACCCCACGCCGGTGGATCGGAAAATCCCCACGATCTTGAGAGGAAGACATTCCAGCAGCTGCTGTCAAAAGAGTAGGCACAACACACCATCCGACGTTCGGAGGAACATTGGTGGATACTAGATTCAACACCTACAAGGATCCTTTATCCTGGCCCAAAATTCACAGGCCCCACAAGGCGAGGTGGTGAAGTTTCGGGTCCTCCAATACGTTTCGGTTGGTGCTAGGCAGTCTGAACAAGACTTCTGCATTCCTCACCTCAGCCTCCCCTGGCCCGACGGACACGAAGGCATTTAGAATTATAATCTGGCTGCAGGGTTACCGACGTACATACATCAAATCTACTATGCATAATGACATACGTAAGCACAGGACTACCTACATCGACACTCGAAATCCCGTGACAATCCTCTTGTCCGAAATCATAGTCGGACCAGGGGCTGCGGTGGTGTCGTCATCGCGGCTGCCCGAAAACCCACTGAGAACGACGTGATCATCCTCGAGGGCTTCACGTTGAGTCACTCCAACGATCAAACTTTGTTGCAAGAACTTGCAGAATTCGGCCGGTTCTGGGAGGTACCGAAGCCCACTGCCACCACTGTTTGTCCTTGCACTGCGTGCCCACCAGCGCCCAACCGAAGTTGCAGCTGGCGCATTGGTTGTGCGCCTGCATGGAAGCGGCTCAAGAAGCGAAACTGACTCATACTGACTCGCGGTCCTGAGCTCCTGCTGAAATATGTATGTTCCACCCTACACTGTGCCCATAGGCTCCTTCCCCTCTTACCCCCCTGCCGGCCGTGCGCTGGTTCTGAGCGCGGCAGCTGGCACAGCCCGAGCCGAGTGTCTTGTGGCAGGAATAGGCCTGGCTGGGACAAATAAGGGACAAGTGGTCTATGGGTTCTAGAGAGAGGAAAAAGTGGTTAGCTTACTCGCTCGTGAATTTCATGAAATAGGCACGTCAACGCCCGAGAGGCTACACAGCAGTAATCGCATTCCTTCTGTGGTTCACATGTTTCATTCCGAAGCCCAACTCCTGGACAACTAGGGATGCCTTGCAGACACCGCCGTCCAAATAGTACCCCGGGTTGCACGACGCGCAATGGTTCACCACCTGAAATGCTTCTGGAGAGGCTCAGGGGCTCTAGAACTCGAAGCGACAAACGGACAAAGAAGCAAGCAGATGACTTAAAGCACTTACACCCGCTGACATCCGCTGTTATGGGCAAATGAAAGCTTCATGACAGCTTCAAGCGGGCATGCACAGTTTTTGGTATCGATGCTTGTGTTTCCATTCCTTTCCGCCATCCTGAACTGGCTTTCCGCGTTCTCCAGCCTGGCGGTCCCTTTCCCCGACGCAGCTCTTGCAGCCGGCGTTCGCGCCAGTGCTGCATGCCAGGACCTCCAGATGTTAGGAGCCTAGGGTTTGAACCAGTAAGCTTGGATCCACGGTCTAAGAGTGAAAGATGGGCAAATGGCAGAGGAGGCCCCTATGTGGTGTTTGCCCAGCCTCGCACACAGCCGTGACCTGAATGCCCTTGCTGCCGGACTTTCCTCGGGCCCCACACCCGAGACCCAGGCGCTCTACAACGTCTCCCGACGCCGAGTGGCGAGTGCATTTGCCCTGCGAAGGGTTAAAGGTGGCAGCCGTCTGGTGGCCAGACCAGCCTTGGGAAGCCGGACTACTGCGCTGAACCTTCTGACGTGGACCACACTGCAGGCAAGGCACACTGATCCTTGACTCTCCACGCCTCAGGGCTGCCACATGCTGTGGCACGGGTTTAGGTTTCCCAGTTCTAGAACTTGCGGATTCAGGTGATTTCGGTCTACTTTCAACACATTTCACGCTCATACTTGTCATTCTTCGGTGCTGCAGCTGCAATGGCTGAGCACCAACCTTATTCGGACCTCAGAAGCCGCGACACGACCAGATGCGGCCGAGCTGCAGATCGACAGTTGCAGGACAGAGGTTTGGCACAGGAAGCCGTCTTGGTACCTGGCGCCGACTCAAGACAACGTGCGCAAAGCCACAAAGCCACCATTCCCTCCCAAGAAAGGGGCCTGTCCGCCACGTAGGAGTTGAGATGGCGTAGGTCTTCTTGGTGCTGCAGGAGGCCTCTGAGTTTGACTCAGAGTGGCCCTAGCTGTGGGGCCTGATCGGGCCCTACCTGCTTCATTCTCTAGTGGACTGCAAGTTTCAGTCGCAGGGTGTTTGGTGCAAGTACTGTGAGGTATTGGAAGGTGTTCCGGAACCTGGTGAAGGTCTACTTCACGGACAACAGTAATCAGCTTTCTCAAGATGTGGAAGTTCGCATGTGGGTGGAACCATCGAGCCAACTAGCTTTAGCACCGTCAAATCTTCGGCTGAGATCCAAATCCAAATCTCGGCATAAGAACTTAAAGAACTCAATCTTGACGTATAAGGCATTGCGAGAGCAGGGACCCAGCCTTGGCCTTCACGCGCATGTCTGGGAACGTGCCTCAAAACCCAGCTACAGCAGGCCTTGACTTGGATTCGCTGCACGGTCTCCGAGATACCACGACGACGACGAAGTCGACCGCGACAACCCCGACGGCCACCACACGACCACAACTACGACTACAACCACGACAACGACCACCGCCACCGC